ATTTAAATAATAATTATTTGTAGCCTAATGTTGTATAAAGTACTGTTGCAGAATGGCCCCCTCTATAGAGGACTACAAATCTCAGCAGTACTTTATACAGAAATGCTATTGTTATATAAAGTATTGCTGGGATGTGTAGTCCTCTATAGCCTGTGCCATTCTGCATTGCTGTAAATATTAGGGTTGCACCGATATATCGGCCACCAAAAGATATCAGCCGGAAATGGCACTTTTGGCTAAATGCCAAAAGTGCAATTTTTCTGCTGATACAGCAGCGCATCCGTGCTTTCTTTCCTCCCCGCTGGGCGCTGCTCTGTGTCCCAGCGGGGAGGAGAGAAAGTGACAGCCGGCCAAGCGCTGCGGGAGGAGAGCGCTGTGTTTGTGGTTTTTTTTGGGGGGGGGGGCCCAAAAAAAAATCTTGCACCAGGGCCCTTTGTTCCTTAGCTCTGCCACTGCTGCAAGCACTATTTCTTCTGACCGGACCGGAAATCAGGCATTGATGTGCCACATGTTCCCGTGCGGCCAATCGCTTCAATGCACTGCCGCGCCGCATAACAAAGTGGGCCGGTCGCAATGCGATCCAGTGCATTCTGGGCAGAATCGGGCCGATACGCACTGTGACTGGTGTGAACTAGTCTAGCCCTAAGGGCTGGTGCAGACTTAGGAGACCAGCACAGCGCGATCATGTGCACTTGCACACAGCAGTTGCTGCGAGGCCCATTGATTTCATTGGGGTTACATCCATGCGTCAATCGCTGGTAAAAGGTACATGTGCCTTTTTGCGACACACACCGTGCAGTTATTTCAACCGCGATTGTGTGCGATCGCAAGGGCGGAATCGCTGTGGGAAGCCGCAGAATATTCCTGGCGCGACTGGGGTGCCATTAAAAAATAATGGCACCGCCAGAGCGATCAGCGGTGGTGTGCGACTCCGTGGCCACTCGATTTAATGCACGATTGCCACGCGGTCACGGATCGCCCAGGTGTGATGTTGGCCTAAGCGAGGCTTATGAGTAACATCTAGCTGTGCATAGTGGTACTGCGATCCTACTCAGATAGAGGTTCTGCTATCCCACTCGTAGAGGATTAAGAGCTACATTTAGCTGTACATAGTGGTACTGCGATCCCACTCAGCGAGGTCTATGAGCTCGCTAAGCGGCACACAGCAATACTGCGCTCCATCACAGGCGTATTATGAAGGGTGGGTAGGGCCTGGTTTTTTTTCAAGATCTGATAGGATTAGGATTCAGCATCTTGTCCTTTTACTGATATTTTTTCATCTTTAATGGTTTTGCTCACCAAGAAAATGTGTCAAGTTTCCCCCTTTTTGCCATTTACTGCCCATTTTTTAGTTGTACTTTAGTAAACACAGCACATTTATAAGGCCATTGATAACATACATTTCCCTTGGTTAGTATGGCACTGTGAAGGTGAGGAAACATTATTTTCTGGTTAAAAAAAAAAAAGTACCAAACCTTACATCTCTTTCCTTTAAATAAAAAATGAAGCCCAGCTTCATGCAGTTAAAAAAAAAGAAAAATCTTTGAGCGGGGATTTTAAATAAAAACGCAGCTCTCATTGCAATACTCATCTAATCTCTGACACTGTCATGAAAATCCATTTCACTAGAATTCCAGGGGAGACTTCTAAAGGTGGTGTGCCCGGTTGCAAGATCAGAATTTGAGCCCCTTCCTCAAGCAAAAGAACATGGTGAAAAGTGGGCATGGTTTGCATAGTGCTGCATATTGGGTCCCTTCTCTACTGACCACCTACATAAGGAGGCACTTCTCCACAGACCACCAATGTGAGGGAACAGTAAAATTCTCACTGTCTGCATTTCTTGCCATTAATATTATTTGTTTCATTTATTATTTCTGAAAACAATATTGATATACAGTATACTGTAGAGCAGCCCTGGGTTTTAAATTCTTTAAGTATGCAACACTCCTCATTCTTTTATTTATTCTGTTATCTGAACGTACTGTTCATGTCAGTGTACACTGAGCTATAGAAAAAGTAATTACATTAAGGCCCCATTCACATTGAGCAATTCGCAAATCGCGCGTTTGTTGCACGATTTGCATTTTGCGCGATATCGCGCGTTTGTCGCGCGATATCGTGCAAATGCTTGCATTGAGCAAGCTAGAATCGCGGCAAAATGCGCTCCGAAAAGGGTCCTGCTGTAGCGACGCACGACACGCGACAGCTAGAGACAGAGCCCCATTGAGATGCATTGGAGAGCGATATCGCGCGGTAAATAGCCGCGATATCGCGGGAATTACCGCGCGATAAATCGCTCAGGGTGAACGGGGCCTTAGGGTTTCCTGAGACCCGCAAGTTATTTCAAGGATTCCTCCATGTTAAAAAGGTTAAGAAAGGCTGCTTTAGCGAGTGCAGGGTTCTGTTGTCTTGAGTAACTGAACTTGAGATCTGGATCTGCATCATTCTAGCTGGCTGTGCCAGGGGAAAAGCTAAACTAACCTAAATTGTACTATTTCACTCAGAAAATAACTTGATATTAACATTGCACTATAAAAATTTGAAGTTTTAATAATACCCAAAACTTTACTATATAACTAATCAAGTGATATTGTTACATATTGTTACATCACTAACTTGAGATGATACATTATACTCGTGGTAAGTATTAGGATGGTCAATAACTGGAAATGACCTTGAGCAGTTTCAATACTGAAAATTTCCAATAGATGGCAGCATAATTCTGAGGTTTCTAAGAACGACATGTCAAGCAGTGCACTGGTACTACCAATGCACCTGTTCTAAAATATAGAAAAAAAACTATCATCAGTAATATCACTTGTATGCTATCTTGTTGAAAACATACCAGGTGACTGGATTGAAATCTTGACTGGGCAAACATATGTCAACTTGAACCTTTGAAAATTCATGCTATGGATCTACAAATACCAGCCCAGGGCTTTTGTTTTTCAGCCCGGTGTAAATACTTCAGATGATCCTGCAATATAAAATCCTCTTTTAGCAGGTAATCTGATGTTCTCTGGAAGCTTGATCGTGAGCTTGGGGATTCCCAATACTGACTGAATCAAACTCTATGCACTCTAAGCATACAAGACTCCAGTCAATGGGAAATAAATTATTCACTCCTCTGCTCAACTTCCAAGGCATCATTGAAAACAGCTTTACACATAGAAAGCAGTACTGAAAATAATACCTGGCATGAGGCTAAGGTCCCACCTAGAGGCACAGTAGGGCCCTGTTTCAATGGACTTTTGCTCACTGCAGGCGGGTTTTGCATTCCCATCAGGGCCAGATTTCCCACAAGGCCAACCAAGGCCCGGCCTTGGGGCAGCAGGGAGTTGAGGGCCAGCAGGGGTGTGGAATTCCTATCTCCCGATTCCTGGGCGGGTAGTTGTTTTCTACATTTAGCCATGCTTTGGGCAAGCGGAGCTAAATGTAAAGCAGGGAAGCCACCTCTTGTTTTGTATAAGTGATCTCGGCAACATTGTATGCAGCCTGCAGGTCTGCCATTCTTAATGGGGGGGAGGGAGTTAGCGTGTAGGGGGCGCATTGAGGAACCTGGCCTTGGGGCAGCAGAGAAAGTAAATCCGGCCCTGATTCCCATACAAATCCCGCTATAAGCAGGCCAAATATGGGTCAGAAGGAGGTCAACTGTACGTGAAATGCATCTATCAATTAAGTTTGAAGGATGTCTCAAACTTATATATTAAGTAGATGCCATCAATATGCCATTGATGCAGTCCCTAAACGTTCTGCTTCGTCTGGCTGCAAGGGACTCTAGGAAAGTGGTATAAAAGTCAGATTAACATGAAGTCAGATGAGTTTTTGTTTGTAAATTCTTTCTTTTCCAATTCTCCCTTTTTGTAAATTTATTTATAATTTTTCAATTTTTCCTTTTTTTTGTAAATTCTTTATTTATATTTTTCCCAATTTTCCTTTTTTATAAATTCATTATTCATAATTTTTCCAATAGATTATTTTTTTTATATTTGAGCACAGCTGCAATTCCAACTTTCCTGAATTTGCAACTTCGCTGAATTGCATGGGATTGCAGGCGGTACAAAATACAATAAATTAACATACATTAATAAATACACAATTTAATAAATACATAAATTAATAAATACACAAGAGACAACATCTGGATTGAAATTGGCCGCGGCACTTTTTATTGGTTTAAAATAAATCAACTTTACTTAAAATATCAAACCATCAATCTCAAACTATTAATCAACAAATAATTGCCTAGCCACTACGACTCAAGCAATACCATCATGAAGGACTGTACATAAATTAAGTCCTCCCTCACGTTGAGGGTGACAAACCACATAAAAAGCTTGCGACATATGTTTTTTTTTAATGAAAAAAGGGGGGGGGAGCACGCTGCGCTGTGAGTCCAGCCGAGTGACCTCTGCTCCTCAGGTGCTGACCTTTTATAGGGAAAGGTGAGCCCCGAGAAGCTTCCAGAAGCTGGACAATTTTCCCGCCCAAACAGGTAAGGGGATTCTTAAAGGGACAATGCTTTTAAAGGGGGCAATGTAATTAAAACTGCCCTGAGGAGAAAGAGAAATAGATTAAAATGAAAGAGGGTGAGGGGGACCGCCGCAAGCCCATGTTAGTGGCCACAAATAAATTGTCGGCCCCTTGTCCATTAGCAGTTCACCAATAATTAACTACCGTATTTTACGGTCCATAAGACGCACCAGACCATAGGACGCAGGGAGATCCGGCGCACCTTATGGAGCACTCGACAGACCGTAGCTTCTGTCACAGCTTCTATGACAGAAGCTGTGACAGAAGCTGCAGTTAGTGACCGCTGAGACAGGTGGCGCTGTGATTACAGCGCCACGGTCTCAGTGATCACACAGAGCAGACGAAGAAAGTCCGTTCTTCGTCTGCTCTATGGTGATCTCCATCGTCGCCGCTGCTCGGTTTTAATACGAGTGATCTCATTAGATCACTCGTATTAAACGAGCAGTGGCTCCTACTACTCGCCCGGCGCCCGAAACTGCATGTCTCGGGCGTCGCGATTCGCTCCATAAGACGCAGGCACATTTTCCCCCTGCTTTTGGGGGGAAAAAAGTGCGTGTTATGGAGCGAAAAATACGGTAATTTAAAGCATATCACTGCAAAATAAAATGTTTGGGAAATCAACATACTTAACAATTTACAGTAGAACTCCAGGCAAACATATTTTATAAAACTGCGCTGTGTAACAAATAGTTAACTTTCATGCAATTAATGCCACCACTGGGATTGCTGCTGTTGCCTTTATTATTTCCAGTTCTACTGATGCTTGTTATTATAGCCCTCACTATACTTCCAGCCCATTTTGGCTCTCATACAGAGAAGCCGTTGGGCATTTATCTGCCTCTCCTCTCCCATTGTCCATTCTCAGAACACCTCGTTCTTTGTAAATGATTCACAGAACTGAAGGCATTCTGTGAATGGACAAAGGGAGAGGGGCGTATAAAAGACACTACGACTTTGGTGTATGAGAGCCGTAGCTCTCATAGTTGCAATGCCAGCTATTTAGCAAGAGCTTTACTATTCAGCATAGATGGAACTGTAAATAAAGAAAAGGCAGTGACCCCGGAGGTTGCATACACCTCATGAAAGTTAACCATTTCATACACATCAGCTTTAAATTAAATGTTTTGCTTGGAGTTCCATTGGAATAATAGCACATATTATCACAATACTGAGAGCTTGCTAATCAGAATCACTTAGCTCAGCTAGTGAGTCCTGCTCCATCATGTTGCGCATCTGTTTGAATGATTCACAATTTACCACCAGTAAAGCACACTGACTCATAAGCACTGCTCAATAGGGAATGCACAGAAACCACAAAGCTGATGATAAATAGTAATGCTGACTTTTCCTCTACCAGCTTTTAAAATATGTTGTGTAGATTTAGGATTTTGATAATACAGTGCTATTTGCTGATGAGTATCTTAATCCTGTTCATGTTATTAATGATTACTGCAGAGTTGAGTAAATACATTAAAGTGAACCTGTGCGTTTTACATTATGGGCAAAGCAACAGGTTCACTTAAAGTGATATTGAATCCTAACTTTTAGCAATTTCAGCAGCTAAAGTAAACTAATTGTCTGCCCCTTTTTCATATTTTAAAGCTTTTCCCCTGTTTCGGCCAGTGCCGTTTGTTAGTGCTGCTTTCCAGTTATAAGGTGGTACCTTTTGCCTTGCGGTGTCCAATAGAGCCACACTTCCATGAGCACAGAAGAAAAGACTAGAGGCTGACATGAGAACGCTGCCTGGGACGACATGTACAGGCAAGCTAGAGAGGACAACACACAAAAGACACACCTTTGTTTTTCCTCCAAGGTAAGTGATTGACAGGTGGCTTTCGAGGTGCTGCCAATCTGTCAATCTATTATCTATCTATCTATCTATCTAGCTATCTATCTATTTTTTTGGCCATATAATACATTCAACAAAGGTTAAAAAAAAACCCTGTGTAAACAAGGACAAAATAAATAAAAAGGGCACAAAAGAAATAGGTAAACATAAAAGTGACTGGATGTAAATGAAGCAAGCAGTAGCTAGAGGGAGGGGGAGTACCATGCATGGGATGGTTGAGGGAGGGAATATGCTTATCAGTGGTGTGAAGGTCTCCTACATAGCACATAAAAACCCAACCCGAATCAGTTATCCTTCTCAACTAGACACAGCTTTTGTGGTGTGTAACAAGAAGAGCCATAGGCTAGTATCTGTTCTAGTATAATCAGGGGGACACAGCAACAGCTCTGATCAAGATGAGTCAAATGATTACCTTGTGCCTAGGAATGGTCATACTGGCTTTTATCATACCCAGTCAGGTGAGCCTTCACATATATTATAAAATATGAATTGATATGAGTGACGCAATAGGACTTGTATAAAATTACTTTTGTTTATTGCACTTGTACAACTGCATTGTTAGACTTTTGTCTACAAACTATGTCACAAAGAGTTGTATATAATACATATAGGACTGATGCTTCCATACTTGACAGTAAAGGTATATTATCATATAGCAAACACAATTTAATAAAAATACTAGACATGGGAGCATTATTTCACCAACATTTATTCTCCTTGCCAATGATATGGCATACTCTAGGTGATTTTTTTTTTCTATTTTAAATAATTTTTTCATGATATTTACTGTCATTGTCATACTGTCAGGCACAGACTCCAAGCTGTAGTTAACTGTGCTATTGTTTCTTACAGTGTTTGGAAAAACTGCAACATTTTAAGCATATTTTAATTTTTCAAACACCATTATGCATAGTACAACTTAATTCAAGAGTATTTCTTTAAAGCAAATGGTAAAAAAAAAGAATGAGTTATTGTAATATAGATTTCATTTAGTCTATACAAAAAGTTAAATGGATCTAAGTAGGCACGTTGGGTGTGTCTTTCCAAATGTCCGCTTATCCATCATATGATTTGTCATTATACGTTACGAGTGCATTCTTTATACAAACTGATTACAGCAACTAAACAGTTTTAAGCATAATTATTTGAATTTAAAGTGTATATGTATACAATATTGTATGTATATTATGTGAGGAAAATATGTTTGCAGTTTGATGCCTGGTTTAGAAGCCTCCAGATATAAAGAGATCCATCAATAGAATGCCGAGCCTGAAGCACAAGTAACACACCTTTGAATGTTTCAAAGGTAATATGTAATATGAACAGTAGTAAAAACATATTTTTTTCATCTAATTACAATTTGTTCAGACTAGTAGAGGCTTGATTGTCATCTTAAGACATGAAAGACCTAAACCCCAGTGGGACAATTTGTAGATCAGGACCCCACAAGGGGACTCAGGAGTATTGTTTGGAGTCTCCCAGTAATAGCATTATTGAAGAAATTACAGTTTGGGTCCCATTGTGAACATAGGTTGAATGTCTGAACATTACTATTCTGCAGTTAGTTGAGGGGTAAGGATATCACCTCAGGTGAAGCATTGTTTGACAAGGTGGACAGTCAGCTTGCAAACGTCATGTTCCTCTACTTCTTCTCCTCTTTACTTTACCTTTACGGCTTGCTCACATGTGGGCATTAAGAAGCCTCCACAAGTACACAACTAACATGTGGACACCAGAAACTCTATTAATCATGGTTTTTATTTAAGATGTATGCAACTTTCACCCAGGTTTCACACATTTGCAATTGAATCTCATGTGAAGATGCATGAATCTTGGATATAAATGGGGTGAAAATGTTGATTAATAGACCTCCAGATTTACAACCTCAGTACAGTAGGGTAGCCAGCACAGGCTGTATCCAAACTAACTGACATAGGTGTGGCTGCACCCATTGGTAGGTATTCCACTGCTGGTTCTGAAATCCAACCTGCAGTGTAAGTCACCTACATCACTAACTTAATCTATGTTTTTTTTTCTTTGGGTCTCTAAAATGTAAAATAAAGACTTTTGATGCATGCTTTTGTATTAAAAAAGATATTCACCCAAATCGTGTATGCCATAAACGGCAACATACCTAAAACAACAACTGTAGAGAAGTATAAAAGTGGTGGTTTTCAAATATTATGCAAGTTGTACATTAGTGGTTTTTGGCTCTACATATTTAACGTTGAAATTTTATTTTTAATTATTTTTTATATATGTAAATTGATTATTTTTAAACTCTAGTAAAACTTTTTTTTCAATTTGGGAAAGTATGGGGAAGCAACATAATTAATGCCAGGCATATAATTCTGTGACCCCTCTGGGGAGATTTTTCTTCTTTTCCTGTCACCTGTGATACCAGGATGTGAAAGAAAGGAATGGGTGTCACCAGGATAGGCAGACCCAGACAGCAAAAATCTCAACAGGAATTCTAACTGTACTCGCTTCTAATAAAATGTGTTTGATGCTATCTCCAATCTCATTAAAGAGATTCCCATCATTTCCTATACCTATCCTTATGACACATTGGAATAGGAAGTGAGTAAAATTGCCCCGGCGGGGACCCAAAAGAGCAGTCAAAGACTGACAGAAGTTTTAACTTGATCACACTATCCAAAATATAAAAAGGATTTGGCAGCAGTTTAAAACCATATACTACACTGGAGTGCCAAGAAATGATTTATGATAATATTTTTTTCTCAAATGTGTACAAATAAATATTTTTTAAAGGCAAAATGCCTGATAATTAAATGCCATCTTTAACATATTAGGCCAGTGAATGCCCAAAGGTTTAAAAGCATCACGATTTTATGACTGTCTTAGAATAGCACCCAAACAATGCTGTGTCCACAGTACAGTAAGCATCTATAATTAAAGTGATATTTATGCAATAGTTGCTTTCAGAAAGCCTTGTTTGTCAAATTCAAAAATTAGGTATTTGGCTATAAATTCCTGTTACTAAAAACAGCCCCCCAAATATACCGTTGCATAGTGATATTTTTGCCTCTACTTTTTTGTGACTTTGTAGCTAATAGTATCTCAGTCAGTGCCTGATAAATGCTCTCATTTATCCTTTATCAAAGCTGTGTAACAAACTACAAAATAGAGCTTGACCTTGGCATTCTGTAACTTAGATTATATTGATAATTTGAGACTTTCCAAGGCTACTGTGTATGTGAGCATCTTAGCAGTGTAGACAGAAACACCTTCAATGTAGATGTTTCTATATGACTTCCTGGGCTATCTATGCATTGCTGGAAGACATAATAATTAGATCATATATTTATGTTAAGAGCAATTTTATTTTTATAGCATGACTTCCAGTTTCAACCCCCTGCATAATGATGCTGATTCACTGTCTAATGAGCAGGCTGGAGGTAAAGAGATACCATAGGAAAATTACTGATTGAGTCCCTTTATATTTATAAAGAAGAAAATGGAACAGGAACACTGTGTTACATATATGCATTTACAACTTGCTGTTTTAAATGGCTCGTATTTAACAGGATTGTGATGACATGTACTTTGCCTGCTTTGAAATAATTTATAAGAAGTACACCGAGCCTGATAGAATTCTGGGCTCCAGTTTCTTTAGGCTCCCATTTCATAATGAAATGTTCAGTCATGTACAATCTGTTCATGATTAGTTGTACCAAACAGCTTAGTACACTTACCTTTTTGTATAGGTTACTGTGAGCAATGTGGTCTAAAGAGTAAATAGCATGATCCCATATACTTTAGTACTTGGCATTGGCAAGGCGAGGTTTCTGCTAAACACCCTCTAGGCCACTTTCTTGCTGCTGCAGTGGCGTCACAAGGGGGGTGCGGTCATTTTGGTGTCACCCCCTCTAAAAAGTCGGGCACTTGGTCATGGGCCGAGAGCCCGACAGTGTCAGGAGAGAGGAGGGGACACGGCGGCATTCCTCATTCCGCCGGGTGAATGTCCCCTCCTCTCTCTGCCGGTGTGTATGAACAAGATGGCCGCCGACAGGCGTCAATTAGATGGTTGTGCATGATTCGGGTGACACCCGGCCGTGGGACGCCCCTGTGCTGCTGGACACATTATCACTAATAAAGAGAATGTCATAGGCCAAACTTTGTGGTGAATACATTGAAGTTATGAATTATACTATCCTCCATATGTCAAAGGTTTCCGGCCACCTAAATTAGGACCCGGAGACTGCCAGATGACCCCGCTCGGAGCGCCGCCCGCCGGAGCAGCAGTGACGCGACGCTCGGAGAGGTAAGTAAGAAGAAAAGAAAAAACATAGCGCAAGCTTCGGCGCTAGGCTTCGGGGCATTTTGACAAGTACAAGTACTTGTCAAAATGCCCTGTATCGGGCCCGATTCCGATGCTAGCATCGGTATCGGGACATCCCTAGTTGCAAGCTCTTTCCTTATCTCAATCATTTAAGTTTTGTAAGACTTTCTATATGATGTGAAATTCAGTGCCATTAATTCACTGCAGTTAAAATTGTACTAGATTCTTTAAAACTTCCCAGCACATTACATAACTGCAATTGCATTTCTACAAAAAACTCAGTTACACAGCTAAATCCGTAACTGCTCAACATACAGATATGTTTAATGCCTCCCCCACATTATGTGGCGTGACCTCTTTATACATCTTCCTGGAATACTTTGGAGGGCTATTTATATAAAATTTGCAGAATCATTCACTATGTGGATCTCCGTGATGTCCTTTGTTATGTCCGAGTGGTGGCAAAAATGAAAGTTTTTTGTAAATTCTCTTTTCAGGTTGAATGTAATATTGGAAAATACTGCATTTTGGCCACTAGATGGATAGATAAGTATTTATGTCATATGCTCCCAAGCTCCATCTAGTGGCCATACTTCAGTATCGTTCAAATATTACATTCAGCCTTAAAACATCTTTTACTGAAAACATTAATTTTTGCCTCCATTCGCACAAAATGAACTGTTTACAGAGATTCCTAGGTTGAATGTCTCTGCAAAATGTTTATAAATAGACCCATAACTCTTGTGTGATGTGTAAACCTGTGGTTAATGTTCCAGAAAAGGGAAAGTGGGTGCACTTTGTGGATTATTCTTTATTTGACATCCAACTGTAATATCTGTAACTGTGCCTCTTGCTGTGTGTTGATAATGAGTTGTGTTACCTGAGTTAAAAATATTTTTTTTATGAAAGTATATCTAAAACCAATGTTTTTTAAGGAGGGGTTAGAGTTGTGTAGAATCTGGGGAATTTTATCCTCTTTATTTGCCACAATGACCAATGTAACCAGAAATAAACTAAAGGGAAAATTCACAATTTTGAGTTGTCACTGCAACAAGAAAAGAGGGGAGATCCTTCACTGGGAACAGTCCAAGTTATAACTGTCCTGTTGTATCTCAAGACAGGAAGTAAACTAAGTAAATGTAAATCTCCCCAATGTGACACAGACAGCAAACGAAGAAAAAAAAACTGACTGGGGTTTTCACCGCACCCTAATTTATGCAAAACTTAAAAAAAAAGTATTTAAACAATTTAAACAAAATTCTAGTTAGATTTATTTTAAACAATATAGAATAAACTATTTGTTTGAACTTACTATTCAATAGACATTTTGGTCAATATTTTCTTTTACATGCTAGAAGATATAAATAGGCAATTATGTTTTTTGTATATTGCAATAACAAAAACATGGGCCTAACATTATGTGCATGTGGATTGTTATTAACGCAACTTATATCTGTTTATTTCAGGTTCACAGTCAATCTACTGTCAAATCAAGTGATACAAATGGAACAGCAGTGACTCAGAATTCATCATCCACAACAAATTCAAGTGGTGTATCACCAGCTACGACTTCTACAAACACTACAACGCCACATTCGCATGCAGCTTCTTTGTATACATCTTCTGCTCTCCTCCTCAGCATTGCCTGCGTCTCTCTTCTAAACCTTTGCTGCTAAGGGATTGTGACCTATGTACGACAACAGACCACTCTCACCACTTTTTTCTCGTAACCAAGCACATCATGGAAAGGCATCTAATGCCATGCAAGATCTACGAACCCCCCTGTCTGAATGTTTTGCTCCTCTTGACTGAAGCTTTCCCTCCAATTAATGTTGTATCAGACACAGGGAATTGAAAACCTCCAGAATCTAAACCTTGAAGAAATGTGTTCCCTAAGTGGAAAACCTGAGATACTATCCCATGGTGAAACCTAACAAGACATATAATATGAGCTGCAAGACACAGTTGTAACAGAGATGATGGCAGGGTCACAGAGACCATAGCAAGGACTGAACAGACTCAAAGACTGTTTTGCTCATATGTAGAAAGCTATGTTTATATAAATAACAACATGTAGACTAAGTAATGCATTTGTAACCATGTAACCAAATAAATTTGTATGGTACACATTGATTTCTTTTGCTTTTCTTCTGTGGAATATTCCACCTGCAATCAGGAGCATTCATTAAGAGTGAAACAGACATAACCTATGTCATGCAGGCTGGAAACCGGTAGAGAGATTTGGATTACTCTCATGAAAGGTAGTCATTGTGCTGGAAGGACGGACAATACCTGCATTGTTCTTTGGAATCATCTTCAGATAAGCTTGATGTGGAAGCGTTCCATTTCCAGCCAGCTTTTCAATGCATACTTTACATTTGTCCATTCTTATCTGAAGCTTATATTGTTTTTATGAACATCCTGATTCATCTTTGCCAGAATGCCAACAAAATGTTGCTCTCTTTTTTTTTCTTGCAGTGTGATTTTGAAAGAGACAACTCACTATCTGTTGTTTGTGGAAATAAGGTGCACAAATAAGCAATACTATAGTGCAGTAGAACAAATTTCTTGTAACAGCTAGTAAATAAAGCAGAAACATTTTTTTGGCTACGCATCATTGGTTAACTGAGTCAGATTCCAAAATCTGCACCCTCCATCATTTTACACATGTGCGTATTTTTGTATTCTTGAATCAGATATATTGATGCATACCAATGCAGTAAATGCTAAATGGCTGGCACATTAAAATGGGAGCATGATGCAAAATGTATAACTGAGCAATGGGAAACAGTCACGTCATATATGACAATGATATATAAATATGCTTCACTTAATAGCTTGATGGTTTATAACTCTTGCTAACCTGCATGTCAGAGATTGCAGTCTGACCGTGGAAGTATTTACCTATGCAAATATCTATGTCCATGTGCAAGCAAATTAATACAATTTTACAGCCCTAGATTCAGGCACTCTGGGTGGATCAAAAATATGGTTCAGGCACCTTTGGGCTTTGCATTTATTCTGTATGGTCAGTTTACTTTGATTTAGTTGAGCACAGATTTGCTTTAAGAGACCAGCAGAATTTTATCTACAAACCCTGCTTAAGGCTTTGTTTACATTCTTGTGTTTTCTATTGGTGAAAGCACATTTCATTTAGACCCTAATAGGTCAGAAGTATACTTCATACTGTATCGTGTGCAGTGTCTAAAAGAAAGATGCCATCACACGTGTTCAAGTAAATTAAGTCTTTAGAGGCAAGGAAATTGAGTCCCACATTTGGCTGGAAATGGAATGCTTCTCATCAGATGAATGTAGACTCTGCCATACAACAGCTGGGAATGGTACAAATCAACTGTGTAAAGCCATACTTTTTGCTCTCAGTTATTATTTTCTTTCTTATTTATGTAACAGCAAAAGTACTTTTCTCCTACATTTCCCAATTTCCCTGTATTTACAATCTGTGCTGTGATACAACCTTGTTGTTGAATATGACCAGTACATTAACCTCCCATTCCTGCTGCCCATGGAGCATTTAAGATTCTGTAGTTACCGTAGTTATTGTTTTTATTAATAATGGTATATGGTTTTAGAGATCTTGGGCGTTGTGTACTGTTGAATGTTACCATATGTGCCAGATATATTGATTTCCACTGTAATGAATTATTATTTTGTAAGCTTAATCAAATAAATCTAAAGAAATTAAATATATTTTTTTGCTCTTTTTGACTCATAAATGGTCCAAAAGATAGTAGAGAGAGATTAGAAAATGGGCTAAAAAGCATGATTGCCCACAGTGATGAATCAGATTTCATGTTTCATTTTCTCAGATAATAAAAAAAAATGAAACTTAGTAGACAGCCATTAGAAATCATGGGACCCAATACAGCCTTCCTGACACCTCCCCCCATGCAGAGGCGGCTCTTTAATTAGGCAAATTAGGCGGTCGCCTTAGGCCTCGCGCTCCCGAGGGCCTCGCGTCCGCCTAGTTTGCCCTGTCAGGACGGCAGCCAGGTAGCGTTGTCAGCTCTCATCCACGTAGCTGTCAAACTGAGACTCTCAGTTTTACAGTGACAGGGCTGAGAGCTCATCCGTTACCTCAATCGTTGGTGCGGATCATCGGCTCGTCTTCTGCACGGAGCTCCGCCCACCAGCCAATAAGAGACCTCACCCCTCCCATCCACCACACGAGGATCTCTGGCTAGGAGGGCGGAGTTTAACTGCAGAAGCTGATGGAGACGCCCTCAAGACACGGCCAGCACAGCACACACAGTACTGGAGTGGCAGCCTGGAGAGCCTTGTGGAAAGCAGGTGAGAGCACTGTGGAGAGCCCTGGTTTACACAGAACCCTGCTACCCTGGTGAGGCCCCCTCAGAGCCCTGGTAAGACCGCACAGATGCCTGGTCTGTGGGGTCTCACCAGGGCCCTGAAGGGGCCACATAACCTTGCTACCCTGGTGAGGCCCCCTCAGAGCCCTGGTGAGACCCCACAGAACCCTGCTACCCTGGTGAGGCCCCCTCAGAGCCCTGGTGAGACCCCACAGAACCCTGCTACCCTGGTGAGGACCCCTCAGAGCCCTGGTGAGACCCCACAGATCCCTGGTCTGTGGGGTCTCACCGGGGCGCTGAAGGGGTCTAACCAGACTGATGAGACCCCACAGAACCCTGCTACCCTGGTGAGGACCCCTCAGAGCCCTGGTGAGACCGCACAGAACCCTGCTTACTGGTGAGGCCCCCTCAGAGCCCTTGTGAGACCCCACAGATCCCTGGTCTGTGGGGTCTCACCAGGGCGCTGAAGGGGTCTAACCAGGCTGATGAGACCCCACAGAGCACCGGTGAGAACCTATGGAGCCCTGGTGCTGTTGAGACCCTATCTCGCTCTGGGTACTCAGACCAGAGTAAGACCAGACAAAGCCCTGGTGAGACCCCACAGAGCCCCGGTGAGGCCCTGGTGCTGGTTTCAAACAGGGCTCTAAGGGGTCTAACCAGGGCCCTAAAGGGGTCTAACCAGGCTGGTGAGACCCCACATAGCCCTGGTGAGACCCCATCTCGCCCTGGTGAGACCAGACGGAGCCCTGGTGAGACCCCCACCAGGGATCTGAGGGGTCTAACCAGGGTGGCGAGAGCCTACAAAGCCCTGCCGAGACCCTACCGAGCCCTTGCAAAACTCTACAGATCCCTGATGAGACCCTGCAGAGCCCTGATTTAATCAGAGCTCTGCAGGGTCTCACAGGGCTCTGTGTGGACTAACCAGGCTGGTGAGATCCCACATAGCCCTGGTGCTGGTGAGGCCATACACAGCCCAGGTGAGACCCTACAGGTTTAACCAGGGCTCTGTGGGTCTCACCAGAGCTCTGTGGGGTCTGCCCGGGGCTCTGTGGGTCTAACAAGGCTGGTTAGACTCCCCAGAACCTTGGTGAGGCTCCACAGAGCCTTGATGCTCTAGTGAGACCCCAAAGAGCCCTGGTGAGACCCTAGAGAGCTTTACAGGGCCCTGGTGCTGGTGGGACCCTACAGAGTCCTGGTGAGGCCCTGCGGAGCACTGGTTTTACCAGTGCTTCTTGAGGTCTCACTAGGGCTCTTTGGGGTCTCACCAGCCTGGTTAAACCCCACAGAGCCCTGGTAAGACCCCACAGGCCTGAGTGGGGCCTCATGTTTAGGTTTTGCATAAGGCCTCGCAAACTCTAGAGCCGCCTCTGCCCCCATGTGTTTCCCCTAAACCTTAACCTCTCCCCCCTACACACGCACACATACACACACACACACACACACACACACACAGGAAGGAGGGTATATGTATTTCTATACAGAAGAAGGGGATGATATATACATTTTTACAGGAAGGAGGATATATGTCAATATAAGGCCCGTGCCCTAGGTCATCATAGATAAGTCCATCTTTGTTCTTTTTTATATCTCCAGTTTTTCCTGTAAAGAGTTTACCTGCATCCTCTTTCCACAAACTTTATAAACCCATACAATTGCTTAAAATGGGACACTAACAATAATATTGGTCATAATCAACTGGCTCAAAGACCTTATTATCTGTTATATGTTTCCCCTTGGAAAAGTTGAGGTCTACAGGTGGATATCTGACTGGTAGGGTCCAAAGAAGTAAACAATAATGATAACAGTCAGATCATTTATCATCAAGTTTATATTTTTTTAAATCTTAAAACCATTGTCTTTGACAAGACAAAACTAGGAGAAGAAATAATATATAAAAGAAGGGATTCAAATAGTATCATTTGTTAGTCAGAACACTAAGTTAGAACATTAAACTGACTTTTATGATCGGGAAATCGCATTTAAATATCCATTGGCGAAATTGTCAGAAAGAAAGGACAAAACCCAACAGGCAAAATATAACAACAGAAAATGTGATGAAACATAGAAGAAAATTGGGAGAGTAAAGTAGAAGAAAGTACAGTTTTAAAATAGCAACAGATCTAGCTGTGATAGAATTCATAAGAGCCTAAGCACATAATTCACAAAATGTATTCTTCTAATAATAAGAATAATGATTATGCTTGAATAAGTAGTATCCCACTGGCTTAAGCGAGTAGTAATTATAATGAACTGTCTACTAGAAAAGCAAAGAAGAATTGAAAAGCTTTTAACCGTCTGCACTGTCATTAAAATCTACCCTTAGAAATCACAGCAGTAACATTTAACAATCTTACTTTCTGAAAGCATTTGGTGTCTTGACAAAGGAGATGTTGTTGCCTCCGGAGAGAGAAAAATAAAGTTTTGGCAACATCTATCAGATAAATCATCAATGATCTTTCATCCCTGCTTAGTATCAGAGACTTGCTCTGTCAGAGAAGTGTTTGGCTGTCTGTGACTAGGTTATCCCTAACTTGAATAAATTGTTAGAACTTGTATCAGGATAAAATAACTTACTAGGGGCTATGTAAAGATAAAAGGTTTCCAACAATCTACCTTTTGCAAACACTTCCCCTCTCTTGTTGCCTCTCATTATTATGTTAAACAAGTTACAGAGCATTAATATTGTACTTTTACAGTTAGTTTGCTATCCAAATATTAAAGGAGATAGCACCAGTACAAACTGACACAGATCAAGACAGTAATGCATGGCTCAGGGCCGGCCTTAGGCCTTTAGGCGCCCTGTGCGAG